GCTTGGCTTGTAGCATAAATTTTTTAAAAGCAAAAATTGGAAACATCCTAAAAGCTCACCACAGGAAACTTAAGTAAAAATTTCTATGACATCCATAGGAAATTGTATTGGTTGATTGGAAGGAAACATTAAGAGAAGAGCAAAACTTCATAGACAATATGTATAATTGCATAAAATGGGCACACAGTCACCCCCATTTTAACAGTTGTTTGCTGAAAGTCCTAGGTATTTTGGACTTAAGAGTGTAGAAAATATTAGAAATGCTTTCTTAGCTGGGCGTGATGGCACATGCCTTTAATCCCAGCACTTGGGAGGCAGAGGCAGGAGGATCTCTGTGAGTTCAAGGCCAGCCTGGTCTACATAGTGAGTTCCAGGACAGCTGGGGCTACAGGGAGACCCTGTCTCAAAAAGACCAAAAAAAAAAAAAAATGCTTTCTTGGAGCTGCTATATGGGCGAACAGAGAAAGGTAATTTTCACATACAGAAGGAGGTAGGTGCTATAGTGAAAACAGAACTAGAAGACAAAGACAAGAATTCACCAGGAGAATAATGCTAAGGGGGAACACCAGAAAGCTTATCTAAATTCAGGTTGAGAAATTTTATTGTAGGCAATGAGTTCTGGTGGTACTATTAATACTGTGAAGTCTAAACCGTGAGATTTATCTCTGGCCTACAGTGATCCTTCCTGAGATACTGAACTGATTCCCAGTATAGTATGTCAGGCAATGCTCATTACATCTATTTTGTAACTGGGGTATTCTAGACAATTGGTGGTCCAGAGTAACTAATTAGCAGAATGGTAGGCAAAAACCACAGTGTCTTCGTCCTTAAGCCACCCTTTGCTCCTCTGGGCTTCCCCAAGGATGAGGGAGAATATTAAATATCTGTTTAATAAAACCTTGGCAGTCCATCCCTGGTGTGATCCTTCTCTCCGGTGACATTTCACGTGGGTGCGAGTCCTGTTGACCTTGTCTTTAGTCTCCCAGGCAACTAAACAGTTGCAGCCTGCTGTACCTTGATTCTTTGATGACTTTTCCCTCTTCTTGATGACTGAATTAGAAGGCTAAATATAGGGACTGGCTCTCTTATCTCCTCAGTCTTTCCATGTAGAAAAATGTGTTATCACTAACAGATTGTAGTTACAAGACAGATACTGGGGAGCAGAAGAATGGCAATGGGGCATGGAGGTATGGTCCAAACACAGAGAGTCAAGTTTCTCATTTAATAAGATTAAATGTTGAAGAGAAGCAGTATACCATAACCAAGGACACAGGCACAGCTTTCACAAAACTGAAGAAAAAAGGAACAATCTCTATGGATTGTGACAAAAGGGACAAGAGAAATGCAGATCTCTGTATTAGAAAAGCAACTAATGTCAGTAACAGCACTCAGACATATCTGCCAAAGCCATAAATGAGCATCCTTCCATTTATTTGAGTGTTGGGAAGTCAGGTGTCAACAGCAGCAAGGATGCAGTGGAAGTGGAGAAGACACTAGCTGGAGCATCAGTGACCCCTGACACACAGACCCAAGTGAGAAGTGTGGTTTCTGCTGCTGATCGGAGGTTGGAATATGCACTTAGCATCTTCTAGCTTTTTTTCAAATAAAGTTGGAGATACGGGTCTTAGGGTGAATGTTTTCACATTTACTTTGGAGTAACTTACTGAAAGACATCTTGTAACTTATACCAATGCACACAAAAAATGTCTGATCTCTTCTTTGTGTCTTTAATGCACTGATTTCCTTCTCTAGTTTAGGCTTAGGGGTAGTCTTTGAGCAAGGAATGAGTATCCTTGTTATTTTTATAGAGATGAAGAGTTTCCTCTCAACTTCTAAAATAAAGGCACTTTTATAAGGATTATACATAGTATAAAGAATTAGATTTTTGAGTACTTGAGCAGGAAATGAGGCTGCAGAGCTACATTTCTGAGTACGGCTCACACATTTTTTTCTTTTGGTTTTACAAGATTTGACATCTGGAATATTGACACATTATCCAATATTATTAGCAGGTCACAGTAATATTCAACTGAACTAGTTCACTGCATTTCAGGTATTAATTAGCCCTCAGACCCACATTCATGAGGAATTATTGGTACTTCAAAGCCTGTTTTTGACTAGGAAGGAAAACTATTGGCTATTCATTTCGTCTACTAACAGTCTTCAGGGTGTTGAACCTAGCACTATAGAAATGTTGTGGGAATTAGTAAGTATCTCTGTCTTCTAGAATCCACTGCTCTTCAGAGCAGATAAAACATATTTTAAAGTAACAATTAAAAGTAACAGTAAGTAATAGGGCAATTTATAGCAAGTGTAAAGTTGTATGTTGCTATTATTGAGGTGACTAGGCTATAATAGTGTTTCAAATGCTTTTATTCTTATTGTCCTTTTTTTTTGTTTTGTTTTTGGTTTTTGAAAAAGGGTTTTCCTGTAGGCACAGCTGGCCTGGAACTTGTTACATATACCAGGCTGACCTCAGTCTTACAGCAATCCACCAGATTAAAGGCATGTGCCACCAGGCTTCCAATACTTTTCTTTTTACTATTACTGATCTGAAGCAAGAACTAGAGCCCTGCAGAAAGCCTGAATTCATAATTTTAATGAACAACTGTTGAATACTTGGTATATTAGGTATGACTGAGAATATTTTATCAAGTGTCTCAATCACTTCAACAGTATTAACTTTTACTCTTTTTAAAAGATTCTCAAATTTTTTTTTTGATTTAGTAATTTTGTTTTATGTGTGTGTTTTGCCTGTGTTGTGCAATGCCTGTGGAGGCCAGAAGAGGGCATCAGATTCCCTGGAACTGGAGTTACAAATGGTTGTTAGCTGCCTTGTGGGTGCTGGGAACTGATCCCAAGTCCCCTGCAAGAGCAGCCAGTGCTCTTAACCACTGAGCCATCTCACCAGCTCTTTAATTTTCACTCTTAAATATGTAGAGAAATAATGTTCAGCGAGACATACTCATTTCCTATAATCTGTGAGTACAAGCAGAAGATGCAGAGTTTGAATTCAAGGTGTTTTACAGTGGAGGGCAAATATTAAAAGCATGCTTTATAAAGGATTTCTTGAAAAATAGGAAGCAAAATAAAATAAACCAATTTTTCTTGAAAGAAACTAGGAAAGTATTAAATGGAAGTATAATTAGAGGAAGGTTTCTCATCTGGTAGAGTCAGTTGATATTCATGAATGATAATGTCCTTAATAGGACTATATAATCTAAATTCTCTTCTTGCCTATTAAATTGATATATTTTTTTCTTTTTTTCTAAAATGCTGTAAGGCCATTGAGACATTGGTAAGCCATTCCCCAGTTAGCATTTGGCAACATTTATTAGCATGTTATTGGGACTATATGATGAAATTTGTTTACATTTCAAGATTAATTTAGGATTATCCAACTATCCTTATTGTGAACTAGGAATTGATTTGTAGATGAAGAAGACAAGTTATGGTGTCCTAGGTTTAAAAAATGCTTTTTCAGGAAATACCTAGAATTATATAATCTTACAGTTTGTTTTAGTGTGGTTGGAGTGTATATTTTAAGATTTATCGGACCAAGTCAACTGTAGACTAATACTAAAGAAAAATGGATGGTTGTTACAGAATATGAAATTATACTTGAGCACAAATTACTGGGATTCCTCAACATTTCTTTGCAGGCCAGGTTTCCTAGATAATAGAGTTTGCTTTCTAAGGAAAGAGTAAAAGTAGTTAATTAGGCATGAACTCAAACATGTGCCAGTGAGGATGTCCTCAGCTGTAAGTGATCAAAAAAATCCCAATTTTATTCAAATAACCTCTGTGTGATTCCACTTCCCAGACTGTGGCAAGTACCCTAGACAATTAACTTACTGAGAGGTTTCTTTTGGTTTATAGTTTCTAGGGTTCCAGTTCTTGAGTGACTGTCCTTGTTGTTTGCAAATCTGTGGCTAGGTAGTACATCATGCCGAGAAGCATGTGGCTGAACAGGCTGCTTGTGTCACGGCCATGGGAAAACGGAGAGAGGAAGAGACCAGTGGCCCACATTCCCTTTGAGGACATATCCATAATGACCTGAGCACTCCCACTAGGATCGATTTACTTAAGATTCCTCACCTCCTGCTGCACCAAGTTGAGGACCAAGTCTTTAATACATGTGCTTTTGGAAGACATTTAAACAATAGTAGTCATCAAGAGTGATACTTAATGCTCCTTAGTAGTAGAGTTTCTTTAAACTCAAGTTTGGAAGGGACCAGTTTGTGACTCTAGTTGTTAAATGTTTTTCCTTAAGCACACAGTAAATTAATAGACAACGCGAGGTCAGGATTTCTTGACTTTCAATGTAGAATATTGCCTTTCATAATATTTACTCTTGAGACTTAACTATTGAGAGTGCTTTAAAACTCATGGCAGGCACTGGTCACTTTTGTAACTAACACACCCTTAAAATTCATTTATTTTGTTTGTTCAGTCAGTTAGAAACAGTGGAGTCTGTGTTTTAACAAAAACAACCCCTTGAAGGCCTTATTCTTGGTTTTGAAAACATAGGCCTTTAGCTACTAGTGGGTCCCGTCTCACCTCATATTTGAATTTTGTACTTTCACCATCTTTGTGGCTACACCTACATCATTTTTACTTTTTCTGTCCACAATTAGTTTCCCCTTTCTAATTGGACTTTGTGAGTGCTTTTCCCTTTCTCTCCCAGATCCCAGCCCTTATTTATATGGGCTGTGAACTCTACTGTTTTTCCTACTCAGTTGTGCCCATTACGTGTAAACCCAGTGTCAGTAAATGTCCCCAAACTGGGTCTTGGAATTACTATGGTAACTACTGCCTTAAGTGAGATTCAAACTAATAATTAGAATGTTGTGATAACTTCTCCTATTACAAGTTTTCTGTTTTTACAGTCCACCAAGAGCTGCCTCTTTTATTACAGCTAGCGCCCAGGTGACATGTGATTTATGGCCTGTCACCCTCCCAAATGCTAGTAATTTACTTTGTTTTTTCTTCATTTCTAGGACAAGATGTTGATAAATATAAAAAGTGTCTTATGGATGTGCTCAACCTTAATAGTAACCCATGCACTTCATAAAGGTGAGTGGCATAACAATTTCTTCATTGATAGCTGTAATAAAAAACTTATGTACTGGGGTGGAACTGAAGTATGGAATAACTACAGTGATTGTCTTTAAAAATCTATTCGGCCGGCGTGGTGGTGCACGCCTTTAATCCCAGCACCTGGGAGGCAGAGGCAGGCAGATCATGTGAGTTCAAGGCCAGCCTGGTCTACATAGTGAGTTCAGGTTAGCTGGGACTACAGGGAGACCCTGTCTCAAAAAGACAGAAAAAAAAAATCTATTCGGTGCTAACAAGTTTTAGTTAAATTATCATCACTGAAAACAGTGTATTTAAAAAATAATTAGGACAAAATAAATATTTTTAAATGAGCTTCCAGTAACCTCATAAATTACTTTTAAAAAATATTTTGGAGATGGGTTCACTGTACACTCCCAGTGGCCTCACACTCATCATCCTTCTCCTTAAGCCTCAGAGATGCTGGGATTACTGATTTGTGTTACCATGTCTGGCAGTAACTTGTATTTTTGAACTTAACGTGTAAAACATCTCATATATAGCACTGTGCATATTTAAAATTCTAGTTTCTTATGCACTACTTCCTGAAGACTTTCTCATAAATAGATAATTAATTACTCAGAAGGCTACATTTGTAAGTTAAGAAGATTTTAAAAGATTGACACCAAGTATTTATAACCACCTCCCTTTTTCTTTCTTTGTCTTGAGGTAACTGGGTAAGTACATAGCACTGCTTGTCTTAGGTGAAAATTTTATGTCCAGCCATGAGGTTTGTATAATTCCAATATTTTTTTAATATATTCAAAGAGACACACTAAGGAATTTGAAGAGACTATTTTGAGCTTCACTGGTCTGCTTCTGTCTTGTGAACTCTGCAGACCTAACTTCCATTTCTTTCTTGGACCCTATGCTCCAGACTTTCAGAAATAATTCACACATCCATAGACTGTTATATTTCCTGGTTTTCCATATGTAATCACTTTTGCTTGGGAGTCTCTCTCTTGTTCTCTTTAGTTACATTTTAATTCATTTTTCCAGACTCAAGTTTCAAGTATCTCTCCATCCATCCATCCATCCATCCATATATGTTTCCATCTGTCCATCTATCCATCCATGTATCCATCTGTCCATCCATCCATGAATCCTATCCAGCCATCCATATATGTCTCCATCTGTCCATCTATCCATCCATGTATCCATCTGTCCATCCATCCATCCATCCATCCATCCATGTACCCATCTGTCCAGCCATCTATCCATGTATTCATCCATCCATCCATCCATGTACCCCCCTGCCAATCATCTATTCATGTAGCCATCTGTCCATCCGTCCATGTATCCATCCATCCATCCATCCATCCATCTATCCATCCATCCATCCATCCATGTATCCATCTTTCCATCTGTCCATACATATATGCTCCAAGTCATGCACTCATCTATCCTCCCTTTGACAATATTTTTTTGATCCTTCTTTGTGTCAGATATGAATAATTCATATGTTGTAATTTTCATTAAATCCAAAGTTTATAAGAAATAGACAATAAACAAATAAACAATCATTCTGGATATTTTCCGATGATAAAAATAAAACAGAGTGACATCCTAGAGAATGGCCTGGGTTGAGGAAAGTAGGTCACACTTCTTTGAAAAGTAACACTAAAAGAATGAAGAGCAGCCAGCCTGCTGATCTAGCCTTAGGTTAAGATAAACTGTGTGAGCAAAAGAAAAGAATTGTAGTTAGACAGCAGTGATGACAAGAAAGTGGGACACATAGACAGAGAGATAAGCAGAGATCAGTGCCTATAAATAGTAGCAACACTAAACTCTTAGATAGGATTCACTGTGAGCTGGAAATTATTTTAGGTGCTTAACATTAGTTTACCAAGTATCCTTTACCCATGTTCTATAAAGAGAAAAATGAAGGGCTGAGAAGAAGATTGCTTGCTCACAGTTCCATATCCAATATGCATCAGAGGGAGGGGATGAAGAGAGCAGGCCACAGATTGTGGTCTTCACTGTTGTCTTATATTCTTATCTGTTGGGTAGTATAGGTTTTACGGAGGACCTGGTTTTATTCTAAGTGCAGAACACACTGAAGAGTTTCAGTCCACAGAACACATGTAGTAATAAATGTTTTTAGACTTCCATTTTGTTTTTCTATGAAGATTCAATCATAGGAGAATGACAATGGTGGGGAGGGGTTAATCTAGGTGGGTATTGTGGCAGCCTTTTCACGCAACTGGTAGCTTGCTTCAGGTGGTAGCCATGGAGATGGAGAGTTTAGGTGCTACCATCTGCTCATCATCCAAAGACTGTTCTGAAAAGGTTTCAAGAAGTAGATAAAGAAAAGGGAAAGGGAGCTGGAGAGATGGCTCAGTGGTTAGGAACACTGGCTGTTCTTGCAGAAGACCTGGGTTCAGATCCCAGCACCCACATGGCAGCTAACAACTGCCTGTAACTCCATTTCCAGGGTATCTAACAGCCTCTTCTGTCCTCCACAGGCATTGCACAGTATGGGTGCATTTACCTACATGCAGGCAATACATGCATACACATAAAATTTTAAAAATTAAAAAAAAAGAAAAACAGAACAAGACAGCAACATCTGGTGAGGACAAGAGGGGGTGTGGGAAGGGATTAAGAGAGGAGAGTTGGCTTTGGTGGCCAATGAAAGAGGAAATACCGTGAAAGCCATATAAGGCATCCTTCCACTTTGACTTTCCACTTGCAACAGAGACTCACACAGTGAAATAATACAACACACAGGGTATTTCCCTTATAGAGTCAAAAAATTAAAAAATGGATAGCCAACAATATTAAGTATTGTCTATACTTGAGGCCCTATTTATAAATCCATAGTTACTATTGAGGTACATAGTTAATTTGGAGATAATTTTGGGAAAAAGTAATTCTTTCCTATAGTGGCAGAAATAGAAAGCATAAAAGCTTAAGATCTAAATAAGACATATTTGTCAAGTTGATAGTGGGATAGACAGTGGTAACTTGTTGAATTGACACAGCATTTTATTGTTGTCTTGGGCTTTACTCTGTTTATTCCCAGGATTTCTAAAGCTCCATGTCTAATGCTAAGGAGCCAGCACCATGTCTATTGGTTTGTTGTTTTTAAAACATGAAGAACCCTTTGCTTTAACAATAGCCATATATTAGAAACTGCCTTCAATCTGTCCCCAGCTGGCTAGGAGCTCATCACTGTCCTCTCAGGGGAATGGATATCTTCATTAAGAAATTGGGCTGATTTCAAAGGATAAACTTAGAGAGTTTATTTTCTAAGCTAAGAAAGCCATGAAAATGGAATTATCACGTTATTCTTACATTGCAAAATGCAAAAATCTAAGTAGTGTTTTAAACAGTAATTTTTGCCACCAATTTTAATTAATTTTGTAACATGCCTTATGAACACTTTATATGTAGATTAATAGGATGATAAACAAATCATGAAAATAATGATCATTATAATTTTGAATGAGTGATTTCCATCATATATATATGAAATGTACTACTGTATTTATTCTTTTTAGACAAGTTTTTTTTTCTTTTTCTAGAGAGGGCTAGCCTGAAATTTTCTATGTAGTCCAGACTGGCCTCTAACTGGTTATGATTCATATACCCCAGTGCCTCAAGTTCTGGGATTGCAAGCCCGAGGCCCCATGTGAGTGTAGACCCGTCATCTTTAAAGTTACATTTTAGTCTTTGACAATAGAATTTTTCTCTGAAAGGGTATAATAGCTTCCTGAAAGTTTGAAAATGACCCACCTAATGGTAAGGGTTACACTGAACATTATCATTTCTGATGTATGTCCACATGAGACATGTGTCACTCAGACCACTGGCAAAGTGTTAGATGAACATCATTTAGATAGTTAGAAAATCATTGTTACTTCACTTGGAGGCTGTTATTAGCTTTTTGATCTTTTCACAGAGCGAGCATTGCTTGTGCATGAACATTAATTTCTATTATTTCTAACACCTTATGTAGTACAGGTTAGAAAGTGGCTTGAGAATTAAGGTGAGGGGAATGGATTCCAGTAAGGGTGAAAAGATATTTTCTTTTGCATGCAGTGATATTAAATTGTAACTGGTGTGTTCTTTGTCATGAAACACAAGAGCTTAAAATAGAAAATAAGTATGTTAGGAGGGTTAGGTGAACAGAAGCTGGCTTTCCTACCAGGATATAATGAGGAGCAGTATTTCTCTGCAAAGTGAGAGCAGCTGGACTTGCCATTATAATGAAGCCTTTTGTTGAAACGGGGCTCAATGAGGTTCTCCAAATGTTAGACTTGCCCTTGCTTCTGTCTCATGAAGTACTTTTCAAAATTCTTTGAATTGCTTTCCTTACACTGTGCTAGCCTAACCTTTTCTTTTCTTTTTTCTTTTCTTTTTTCTTTCTTTCTTTCTTTCTTATTTATTTATTTATTTATTATATTGTTATTGTTGAGATAGGGTCTCACACTGTAGACCAGGTAGGCCTAGAACTTGTAGAAATTTACCTGCCTGAATTGCTGGGCCCAAGGAAGTTTCTTCAAAGGTTAGATTTGTCTTTGCTCTGGTCTTATGTGACAGTTATCTTAAACGGTTTTCATCTCTGAAATATAAAGATAACTTTTACCTTTCAACTGCTTTTCCTAGCCCTAGTCTAGCCTTTCTTTTCCCTTCGGCACCCACTAGCCATACTATTTATGGTAAATCATGTTTAAGTTTCTTTGACCACTTTTCTCCCCTCAATTGGGGAGAGAGAGAGAGAGAGAGAGAGAGAGAATGAATGAGAGAGGGTTTTATCACTGTAGCCCAGGCTACACTGGAGCTCATAGCAACTGTCCTGCTTCTTTCTCTTGAGTGCTGGGATTATAAGCATGAGCTGCCTACCATACCCAGTTTAGTTTATCTAGTCTTTTAATCTGCAATACAGAGTCTAGCCTACCCTGTTTCTTTCTGTCCTTAATTTCTTGCTTTATTTTATCACGTTTTTCATGTTAAACACTAAGCAGCAAATACTTTCAAATGAGCTCTGTATTTCAGTGTGTAAAAATGAGTATCATTGATCCCCTTCTTTATCATAAAACCTTATGGAAGTTCCATGCTATTCCCTTTATTTAAAATCATTCTAATTCCTTCATATACTCAAGATGCAACAAAACACGATGAAGTTTTGCTACCCACATTTAATAGATTCAGTTCAGGCTTTTCAGGAATGTTAATCGGAGATTTTCTCTTTCCTCTAGTGACAGTGGATAAAAGCCCACCAGTTAAGGGCTCCCTGTCTGGAAAAGCCAGCCTACCTTGTCATTTCTCCACCATGCCTACCTTACCACCCGGTTACAACTCGAGTGAATTTCTCCGAATCAAATGGTCTAAGATGGAAGTGGACAAAAATGGAAAAGATATAAAGGAGACTACTGTCCTCGTGGCCCAGAATGGGAATATCAAGATTGGTCAGGACTACAGAGGGAGAGTGTCGGTGCCGACACACCCTGAGGATGTGGGGGATGCCTCCCTCACCGTGGTCAAACTCCGTGCTAGTGATGCAGGTGTCTACCGTTGTGATGTCATGTATGGAATTGAAGATACTCAGGACACCATGTCACTGGCTGTGGATGGTAAGCTCTGTAGATTTGTAAGAAGTGGTCCCACGTGACTCCTGGGTCAGAAGTATAGGAGAGAATGCAAGGGTAACTCCTGCTCAGGGTTCAGAAGGTGGAAAACATGTCAACTCAACAGTCTCTGCTTTCCAATGAAAATGAACTATTACTCCCAGAGCAGGTAACTTCTTGTGAAACAGTTTCATTGATTCAGGTAGTAAAGTATAGTATACTAGAATAATGAACAAAGTAATGGAATTACTTTGGTGCTGAGACCTGCCAATGATTACTTTCCAATACTATAAAGGCTATTCTGCAGTTTAATTATGACATTTGTAAACACACACACACATTAATGTAAAAAAATTGAGTTTAATTTTAAAAGGTATAATTTAAAAGTACCCTTGAAAAAGCAATCTTATTTTAATAAGTGTCATGATTCATATAATAGTGTCTTAAAAATGCAATAAATATTAGAATCTTTCAATTGGATCAAAGCAAGAAATCGGCAAAAAAAAGTGTCAAGTTAATACGTTAGTTACTATCCATTAAGTTCTGCCCGTGAGGCACTTTACTTTTACCCTCTTCTTAATGTTGGTTTATATGTCACTTGAGTTTAGGTTTGGAGTAAAAGCAAAGACAAATTGCTCTAATTGGGCACACACATAATGCCATAGCTCCTGGAAGCAGACCATGTTGGCAAGTTATTAAGCAAGCATTTAACACCCAGGCATGATGAAACAGATTTTCTTCCAACTTTAATTTTTTTTCTAGAAAATATTTACCTTTCAGAAATATATATATAAGGGGTTTTGTTAAAATTCTTTCTTGTTCAGACAAAACAAAATATTTTGAATTTCAGGTACGGCAAACAAATTTACTGTGTTCCATATTGTTCAGATATCCACTAAATACCCCCAGCTCTTCTAAGCCCAGAACTTCTCTAATCTCTCCATTGTTTATTTTAGTTTGTACCACTGCTATCTCTTTTATAACCATCTGTATATGTATACCATACACACATATTCACTTTTTAAAATTCCCAAAGGAGTTTAATAACTTCTTATAGTTTTCACCAGTAAAGATTTAGCCGTGGGTTTGCCTCTTGCTGCTCTGAAACAGTGAACACCCCCCACCTAATCTCCTTAGCTCTGTGGGATCTTCAAAGTATTCTAACAGTTGCAGACATTCATACAGATTGATGTTCTCTGCCTTGGTCAAGAAGACCCTCTTGTCTGTCCCCTCTTACTAGCAATACTCAGTGCCTGTGGAAGATTTTTTAATTACTAAGCTTACTTGAAACTTTGGTCAGCATAATACTAATGTAAAACTATTCAAATTCTTGCTTAAGCCTTAAAGATCCTTTTAAGCTACCTCTCATGGTTACCAGACAGGATGGTATGTGCTTACTGACAATTTTAAAGACACTAAATATTTTTAATTTCAGGTACAGCAAACAATTAATTTCAATGTACAAATTGTCATTTGGTGACATTTTGAGATATGTCAGAAATGGAAAGAGGACTGTTAGCTGTCACTCTACTTGGTGCCATGCAATTCCCTTTATGTAGACACCAATGACCACAATCATCTACAAGATGGCTATTCTATTCCCCCAGAGTTCTTTTGCTCGCACACACTTGTCTTGGGACAGATACATTATGTAAGGAATAACATAAGAGAGACTATCTGATAGCCAGCCAGACTGTGGAAGCTAGATCTATCAACCCAGGAAATGACTGGGAGGAAGGGGAGAGTAGCAGACATCTTGGAAACCACAGTTCATTCCAAACCACAGCAGGTGGTCTTGAGTTCTACGACTCAATAAAATTTTACTCATAAAATCCAGTTGCCCCATTTCATTCTATTTTCCAGTGACTTCTCCCGTATATTAGTTGGATTCATTTTGATGTCTTATAGAAATAGAGTCATGATATTTACTCCAGTTAAAAATGGAAAGAGTCAGGCTGGAAAGATGGCTCAGCGGTTAAGAACACTGGTTGTTCTTGCAGAAGACCCGGGTTCGAATCCCAGCACCCACATGGCAGCTAACAACTGTCTGTCACTCCAGTCCCGGGGATCTGGCAGCCTCTTCTGACCTCCACGGGCATCACACGACACGGGTGCACTTACCGACATGCAGGCAATACATGCATACACATAAAAAAAATTAGTAAAATTGAAAAAAATGGCGTCCTGTTAAAGTGGGAAGAAAAGGTCCTACAGGTTTACCTCCTCAGTTGCTCTTTCTTTACCCCTTTGACAATTTCCTGAGTCCTGGAACACAGTTTGTAACTACTAATTTAGGCAATCCCTAAAATATAACAAAGAATTTGAGGCAAGTTCCAGTATGCCTCTCTTCTACTTTGGAAAATTTGGTGAACTTTATTTCAAGCCATTCTTGGGATAAAAATTGTATATTTTTATCATTCGTAGTAGAGACCATAAATTATGCTAGCCAGACAGTGAATAGGATGCACATTTGGGTAGGGCACTATAATCTACATAACATTTTAGAATCCTTTATCTAGGTTTGATTTCAGATAATCAAATAAAATAAATAATATTAGATCTGCTTTATTGGGGAGGAAATCAAGGTATAAAAAGTTTCACTTGATTGTAAGGAGCAAACTGAAAACTGAAATAAACACTGCCACCATCTTTCTACCCTATCCTATTATCTCTGAAGACAAATCTCTATGCTGAATGTTTGGAGTAAATTAAAGGCAGGACTCGAGTGAGCTAAGTTTTTGAAGAGCCTAGAATCTATACAAGTTTAGCAGAGTAAAGATAAAGAATTATGATGATACTAATAATTGGCATATTGTTTCAATGAGAAATTTTACACACTACAATGGGAGACTTGAGCATTTGAAGTAGCCTGTGTTTACTGTCTTTGCAGGGGTTGTATTTCACTACAGGGCAGCAACCAGCAGATACACTCTGAATTTTGCTTCTGCTCAGAAGACTTGTTTGGACGTTGGGGCGGTCATAGCAACACCAGAACAGCTCTTTGCTGCTTATGAAGATGGATTTGAGCAGTGTGATGCAGGCTGGCTTTCTGATCAAACTGTCAGGTGAGAGCCTTGGGGCCAGAGGTTGTAAAGGATTCATCTGACAGTGGAAGTGCCATTCACCAGCCCTTTGCTTCCACAGATATCCCATCCGGACTCCCCGAGAAGGCTGTTATGGAGATATGATGGGGAAGGAAGGGGTCCGGACCTATGGTTTCCGCTCTCCCCTGGAAACCTATGATGTGTATTGCTATGTGGATCATTTGGATGGTAAGATGCTTAACTTTATATAGCTTTATTTGAACTTAGAAAACGGAGGAATGACCAGAAGCACAGGGCCTAGAGCAAGCCCTCAGGCTTGTTTGGATTCAACACAGCAATATTTTGTTTCAATGACTGTGTGATTTTGTGGTAAAGTAAACCTAAATTAAAGTGGAAAAGGAAGGAGGAGTATGTAAATGGTTATGCAGGTTAGAAATGTCTTGGTTAATGGCAGGTTCCTTATACTCAGGCTGCTCTTGGGCTACTTCCAGCACACTTTTAGAGCATCCAGAATAGAAAACTGTAAGGTGGTACCTATTCTAGTGAGAGCTTCAGGTAGAAACACTGTGAGGACAAACTTCTGTGACTCCAACTGCTGATGTACACCCCTCAACTCAATGAAAACACTGTGAACTGGCCTGGGAGGCAGTGTCGGATTTCTCACCAAGTCTTCTTTGTTACATGGATTTTCCAGAGCAACTATTCATTCAACCAATTGACACATTCAAAACTACATTATAAAGAACTACTATGTGATACATAGCCTGCTATTTACTAGGGATGTGAAGCCAGTTTAGATAAATTTCTCTCCAAGATGCATAGAGTCTGATTAATTTTAGTGCTGCGTTTCTTGCTGCTTGAGTTAGAGGTTCTTATTTGAGTTTAATATTGCTGGTATTCAAAGGGTCCCATGTAGTTTTACAATAAAAAGCACATGCGATGGAAGTTTCTGTGACTTTTTAAAGTGGATTTTCATTTGTAATAATAGGTATCTTAGAAGTCTAAGCATATAAACAATGATATTAAATTAAATTATTTTTGGAATTCTGGCTGGATGCACATAAAATGAATGGCATCACTTTTTAATGTGTAAAATGAGGTTAGATGACATAGTTCCTTCCAACACTAAAATTCTGTGAGTCTCTTTGTTTGATGCTTTTCTTTGTTTTGAGATGGATTCTGGCTGTGCTGGCAGGCTGGTCTCATGCCCCTGGACTCAAAAACTCCTCCTTCTCAGACTCTCACATAGGTGTATCTACAAGTGTCTGCCACTGTGTTTAGCTTATGATTCTACAGTTCTTTTAATTGAATAAACAACCACAGGATCTGAAGCTAAACTATAAGCAGCTTGTATTTTCCTAATGCATTGGTTAAATTTGCTTCAGAAGGCTGCCTTCACAGTCTTACTGTCACAATTATTTGAGAATGGTGAGTGTGCTTTCTAAGTCAAAATTCCAAAGCCAACAGCTTCTGTTTCTGTATATGGGCAAAGGAAGACACCTACAATATCCAAGCTATTAAGGACGTACATGAAATTGAGCTTTTTTTTTCCTCTTATTTTAATTGTTTCTAAAGCTATATTTAAAATGGCTTTTAAGACTTATTTTTAGAATTGGAGGTAGTTGGTTAGAGGGAGTGGTTCTAGTGAATAAATTTGGCTTTTGCTACTTGAGAAAGTTAGATAGTAACAAACATATCTGGGATGCTGGTTATACTACCCCTGAACCAGGGTAGGTTTGGAAAAAGTGTGTATAAGATTTAATCCATTTAAAAGAACTTTACCAAATTTATTGTTATGGTAAGCATCTGGGAACATATTTATAATCTCATTCAAATATCAATTCCAAGCTAGACTTCTTGATGGAATGACAGGTGTTAGTCTTCCTTTGGGGGGGTAGTGTCACAGGTTCTAGTTATAATGCCCAAGCTGGCCTCAAATTCACAGTCTTTCTGCCTTAAGCTTCCTAGTGCTGATACTAAAGGCAGGCAATTGCTATTCTTAAAAGGAGCCCTTTTCTACCTCTGGAAGCCTAGTCATTTCTGTGGCAGATGTTCTGTGTAAAACTCATTTCTGTTCCAATGTAATCCAACTCTACTGTGTAAAGTTACTTGGAATAAATATTTCACATGTTTGATGACTAAAAACTTGTAATGTGAAATATAGCATGACAAATTTAGCAGAATCTGAACCATTTTGTTGTTCATAAAGTTGGAAGAGAGGGTAAAGAATCAATACAAACAGTAAATCAAGTACTGGCTGAAATCCGAGTCAGCAAAGTAACAAGGTTTTTTTGTTTCATAGAAGAAGTTTGCCACTTCTGAAGACACCCAGCATTCTTATAATGACAGTGTTGTAGAGATCTTTTCTCCTTGTGTGCTTCCCTTGGTCAATTAAAACATCTTCAGATACTTCTCTTTCTTTCAACTTGAGTAAGACAAGGATTAAAGGGAAAATTTATGGCTAGTGAAATACGTGGAGGCTCACAGAATCTTCCTTTTAAGGTTTCTCTCATTCCTTTACTAAGTATATGTCATCCCTTTGAAATAATGACTTTTAGATGAACTGACAAAAGTTGTTGGGGAAGGTTGACAACAGAAAATTATACCTATTGTTTTAATATTCATACTGATAAAAGTTATTTGAAAGTAAGTCAGAATTCCTCATAAAAATATCTATTGCTAAGTTCATGGATCTAATAACTCCCATTTATTTTAATTATATTTGGGGGAACCAAGTGTATGAGAGGTGGTGGAGGCAGTTAAAATTGGAGATACTGATGCTCTTGAAATGCATATGAGGGACCATACATGCAGTAGTCATGAGCAAGTGTGCAACCACAGCAGAAGCTATGTTATTCCAGATGGTCTAATGAAGGAGACAATTACATGCAACATAACATCAAGTTCTAAAAAGTCACCTAATTTTATGTTTAACTTTAGTAATTTAAAATAAAAGATATTAACAGAATATTAACCTTTTATCCTTTCTTGTTTAAGGTGTCATATGCACATTGCCATATGCATTCCTCTTAAAACCAAATAATTACATCGCATTACATTAAGTCCAGTCAGTTTTCTGACTCTTTGTAAAGTTGTATTTACAGCAAAGTTCTGCATAGGAATACAATATTTACTTCTATTTTGAAAAGTGGCTGAGAAAGTATAAACAGTGTTTTCAACAGTTATATCCACTAATGTGCATTTCAACATTAGTTTGTGTCCTTAGAAATGTTCCAGAAATTATGGTCATTTATTAGACATGAGTCAGGAACAGGATAGTGTTATAAAGAAATCAATAGGAGCTGAAGAAATTATTCAGTGTTTAAGGAGTCACTGTTCTTCCAGGGGACCCAAGTTCAGTTCCCATCACTGACATGACAGATAACATCCTTCCTTAACTTCAGTTCTAGGGGACCTAACACTCTTTTTTTGGCCTTCATGGGTACCAGGTACACTCCTGGTATACTTACAAACATGCAGGCAAAACAGTTATACATAAAAATAAACATAAATAAACTCTTTATTTTAAAGTTACAAAAAAAGTAAGTGGAATTATTGTTCAGAAGTAGGAAAACAGAAGTTAAGATTAATAAAATCATCCTTATTAAGACATTTAATCTCTGTTTTCCCATCAAGTGAATTTGGAAGATGTTGAGATGGTCTTAAAGTAGAGCTAACTGAATGAAACAGAAAACTTAGAAGATTAAGACTGCAGATCCTCCTTATTTTATTATAGGATAAGCCTATTTAAATTGAAAATGTATTTGATACACACAACCTAAGGAACATCATGGCTTAGCAACAGTAGCTTGCAGAGTATCACTTGTTCGCTTGTATCTGGGAGAAGGACTGACTAGAAGCTCTGAATTAATGCTGATGCCAGGGTGCTCAGAAAAATAAACTGAATGTTGTTGGTTCTGGAACAGGTCAAAATTTAACCTCAAAGTATGATTTCGACTGAATACATATTGCTTTTAGACCATTGGGGATCTGATAATCATGAATAAAGCCAGAGTCTATTGGGGACCATCAGAACCAAGGAACTGCAAAGGCCATGCTGAGAGCAGAGTTCACAGGCAGCTCAGCCCCTGAAGCATCAAGAATAGGCAGGACCCTGGCTGAGTTTCAGTCCTGCCATTTACAACTTGTGAGGTCATGGGCAAATTTTGCATCTTTAATCTTTGGTTACTTCTTTTATGAAATTTAGAGCAATAAGAATATTTACTTTTTAACCATGGTTTGGAGATTGAATGGGACCGTATATGAAGTTTTTATTATACTGTATGGCACAAAGTTAGTACTTAATAAATAATAACTGTTGTTACAGCATAGGAGAATGAGAGGTTCTTTATTTCTATTGAATTTATAATAAGAAGAAAGGCATTAAATCACAACTTTGTGGATTAGGTTCACTATAAAATACAATTTTCTGATAATAAATTTAAATGTAGAAAGAATCTTGGGAAGCTATAAAGTTTCAACTCTAGACATTTTGCAAAATAGACTTGATTTGAGATTTTATGAGTGCAGCGGTCTATCATATTTTGAGCCATGGCATCTTGAAGAATAAATACGAGGACTAACTGGAAATGACACGTGAGGAAAAAGTCATTTTGGATGTGATCAATGTAAATTCTTAAACATTATTGAAAAATTAAAAATAACATCGTGGCAAATAAAAGTTTCCATATTAACCCTACTAAGGGTTGAAATAAACTTACTGTGACTAGAACATTGTCTTCCCAAATCCCAACATTCAGGAATATTGATTTCGAACTCTCCCCAAATCATAGACCGCTGGAGAATTTAAATCTTTCTGAAGGTGCTTTGTGAGTTAGTGCCTCTGTGTTCTGAAGCAGACAGTGTGTTAGGAGGTATGTGTGCCAAGCTGCATCCATAGTAAAAATGAATTGCCAAACAAGATAGATAGTAGCAAGCTGTAAGGAACAGTGTAAATGTTTCAGCCCAAAATCCCTCCAACTTAAAAAATATTCAGTTCTTTTGTAATGAAAATAGTACATTTGTCTGATTTTCTTCTGTAGCAGGTACTTGTAAAAAATGGATTTTATAAAGACATTTTATTTTCTCTGCAGATACATGAAAGTATGACAGATGAGGTCAGACAGCCTCTCTTCATGGTTGACCCAGTTAGTTCCCTTGCATATGAATCAATCTTTCTGGGCTGCTATCCAGACCCGACAGAGAATTGATCCAGAGTTCCTTCCCTT